GTCCCCGGCGGCTGTGCGGATGCGCGGCCGCGCTCGGGCTGCCCGCGGAGCTGCGCTGCGCTGCGCTGCTAGTGCTGGTGCCGGCCCATGGGCTGCGCGCCCGGGCGGGCCGGGTGAGCTGCAGTGCGCCTCGGCGGCCAGGCTGCAAAATGAGGAAAATCCTCCCTTATTTTTTCCTTTTTTTTCCCCCCCTCTTTCTTTTTTTTTTTTTTTCTTCCCTCTTCTTAAATGAACCAAACTACTAAGGACAGATATTATGACAAAAGGAACCCCAGGATAGCGACTGGAGGCTTTTTTAAATGTTGTAACGATGGCTTTAAGTGGAGGAAATAACCGTGTTTCACAGCATGGACTATTTGAGTGAGAAGTACCACAAGAGCAGAGGCTGCAAAGGCAAAATGCCTCGCATAGATCTCGGGGGTTTTTATTTTTTTTGGAAATTGCACAATTGCTGTAAGTTTCAACCCGCCTGCAAGGACTGACATAACACCCAGTGAGTTTCCTATTAACTTTCCTCAGTACAAATTCAAGGCTGTGTTTTCTTTTACAGTAAGGTATGTGTCACCTATGCAGCTGGCTCAAGGTCTGAGCCTGAATTTGAGTTTCACGCTCATGGAACAAGGACTTGTCCATGTAGGAAAATGCTCTGTATTTTGTTTTCCTGTGTCTTGTTTTAAAYGTGGTACAGCAGTCCCAACATCATTTTCAGCCCTGCCTAATCTTCAGCAAGATTATAGCCCAGTTTATTGCTTCCATGCACATCCATCCAAATCTGTGCTCAGAGCTGATCCTTCCCATCATCTTTCAGCCCTTCTGGCAGTTGGGATCTTTTGTTGATTTGTTTTCATCTTCCCTGAGCCGCCTTTGCTCACTAGGCAACATGGTCCATGTCTAATCTTGCAGTATGTTGCCCATCTCTGTTGTCTGCAACCCTGCTGCAAAGAAATGCATATTATTCTGTTATGTAGACTGTCAGCTCGGATGGGATCCAGCTGTTTATTGTCATTCCAGCAGTCTGGTGTAGTGTTTCTTCTCTGCTCCTTGCAGGCCACTCAACTAGCCAGCTCATTGTAGCCTAATGATGGTGTTTTAGACTTTGTTCTCTAGTTTCCCCGCCTGTCTGTCTTGCATAGAATTCCCATCTAATCCTTCCATTAGTGAATGTTTCACTCTTTGTGGAACATTAACATCTGCATCCCCATCCCACATGGTGCCTCTGCGATGAATCCAAGTATCTGAATGCCTTTAACTCTTTCCCATCCAAATGGGCTCTCCTAGGCAATGAAATTTGCACATACGTGCTCTTTAAATCAGCTACTTGGTTAAGTGCTTTTGTTCTAGTTCAGTCCTCTGTCATGCCAGATCAATGGGTCATTCCCAAACTCTSTTCAAAGATCATGGAGGTCCCGTGAAGCCCTGGTTGGCCATCATAGCCATTTTGTAGTATTTTCAGTGCAAAGTATGATAATGTGGTTGCAATACTCAGCTTGTGATTAGTGGGAAATTTGAGAGSCTAAAAGTGAAGGAGAGGCCAGAATGACTGGGAACTGGGAATATTCAAATATATAAAGGTGCTTCAGTTTTATCTCTTGGCACAGCATGATGGTGTCAGCAAAAAGCCACTTTGCTCAAGCCTTGTTGGGGATGCATAAGACTGAAAATATCCTGAGTATCCTGAGTATCCTGAGTATCCTGAAAATAGTAGAAATTTTGCACTTCTGTAACCCACTTTGGACACCCCCAGTCCTCCAGCTATTCAGTTTATTTGGATTTAATTAGTTTAAAACCCTTCCAGCAACATAGGCCAAATCAAAATCCATAGCTGTTGAGCAAGAGTCCCTACATGAGATATAAAAAGGGTATAGAAGGTAGTTTATGCTTTCAGGATAACCAGTACTCATATAGGAAGTGCATGGGCAAGAGGAGGAGGTACAGTCCTTCAGAAAGGCAGCAGCAATTAGGCACTTTTAGAGGTGTTTGATTCTGCACTCCCCCAGAGTGGAGTTCTTCCCTCCTGTCATTCCTGTGCTCCCACAGGMCCCGTTGCTGCGAGAGCGCCGTCACGCAAGGCATTGCACCGATGCAGGAATGATGTGGCCCCTGCCACACGGCCTTACGGTTCAGCACGGGCCAAAGTGCACCCAAAAGACAATAAAAATAGCATAAGGAAACAGGAAAGGAAGAAAATATGGAGCAATAACAAGCCTAAATTACAGCAGCTATGACACCACTTCACAGTTAAAACCATAGCTACATAATACACAAATAATGCATTTGTCGCCGTGACCCAGTCTGCATCTCCAGATGCTTCAGTGCTTTTTTTCCCCATTCACAAACCGGGGAAACTCAAGTACCTGGTTTAACCTTTATCCTTAGAGGCTGGTGCTAGGGGGGCCTGGCGCGGCCTAGCACAGCAGTAGCTGCAGCAGCCGAAGCAGCCGGCCAGGCCAGCGGGCTGCCCTGGACACGTCCCGTTTTGAGAGAAYGGCAGCGTAATGCAGTGGGACGTGTGCTGCCTCCTCTGCTTGCACGAGCTGAGGTGGCTCTGGCACTTGTCGAACCTCTCCCCTCTCCTGCATTGTACCTGTGCCACAGCTGGGTAACAAACCTTAGCTCTGACCTGAATCCGTTTTTGGACATTTTTGGTGGGTTGCAGCAGGTGATGAGCAGTGGGGCAGGAAGAGGGGCAGGGTGAGGAGCACCTGCTCCTGCATCTGGGACTGAATCTGGTTGTGTTCACTGCCAAGCAGAAACATAACCCTGGAAAAAAAAAAGCCTAGATTTATGCTGGGTTTGTGAGCTGAATCAGCTCYCAAGTAAATCACCTCAGCTCCAGAGCCAGCACCAGAGAGAAGGAAGGTAGGACTCAGTGCTGGGAGCAGGCCTGGGCTTGGGAAGGGAGGAAGGGTGTAAAAGGAACAAGACTTCCCCCTGACGGCTGGAGTCAGCCACTAGATGCACTTTGCTGCTCACAGCTCGCAGCATCGGGGGTCAATTGGCAAGCGTTAGCCCAAGAGTGTTAACTGAAACGCTGCAGGAACRGGCTGCTTTGTGGTTTGCTGCAGTCAATAATATGAATAATGAATATTCCCATTTTATGTAATAATATTATCGTGGTCCTAATTCCATATTTCTTGTTCATGCGGAAACATTTGTTAAAGCAGTTTTAATAAGTAAACAGGGAGAACTGAGCTTGCAGCCTGCAGGGCTCTTCTATTTGTTCCTGTAACCGATATGTCTTCTGAAGATACATTGAGATATTTCCTTTGGTTATTGTATGTGTATAGTAGAGGCAAATGTATTGTAAAGAGGATGCAATTTTAAGCTACGTGTGATTCTCCYGTAGGTAACTATTGGAGATGAAAGAGTGTGATTTTAAAGGAGCCCTTCCAGTGGCCCATATCAGTGCTACTTCATGTGATATAATGTCTTAAGACAGGGCAGAGACTCCTCCTTGCTCAAATCCATTCTCCGCTGTCTACATTAGAGCCACTTCCAGCCCATGGCTATATTCACTTCTATAAGAAGTGTCCTGAATAGGCTGATSTGTGTTCTTTCTTCACCCAGATCTGCCCTACTCCTCACCTCTCATCTACCCTCTCCACCTAATGTGGACTTTGTAATTACCAAGCAGAGCGTATCATGAAATTGCCCTGATCTGTCCATGAGGATAGCAATTACCCATCTATATCTGAATTGCTGGCCTGGTTTTCAAAAGGTCTGAGCAGTCCCAGTTCGTTTAGGAGCCAAGGAACCTGAGGATATCCTGAATTCCAGAAAACAAGCCATTATGGATACAGAGGGCATATGCAAAGGATGGAGTGGTAGGAAAGCACTGGAGGACCTCACAAAGAAAATGCCACTAGCCAGGGGACAGCTTAAATAATCAAGCAGAACTTCCTTACAACCCCCTGATTTCTGAGAGAGCCTGGCTGACTCTGTGCTGCATCTCTTAAATGGGTAACAAATTGCATTAAGCTCAAGGGGTGTAAAATAGCTCCGTCAAAGTGATGGCTGCTAGCACAGCCAATTTACCTGAAACAGCGACTGTTAGCTCTGGACCCTGGCTAATGCTGCGGCTTTGCGGATAACTAAGCAATTTTCCGGGCAAAATCATTAGGTCTGGGTTTCCTCCAAAGGGGAGAAATTTATTAGACCAACACAGCCATTCCTCATTGATCCTAGCATTGGCGCAGCCCGTTTGGTGAGAGGTTTCTTTTTTCTTCAGTGAAAAACACTCAAACACACAAGGAAAAGGGCTAAGTAGCTGCCAAGCGGTGTCTGGACCGGAGATCAGACTTAGGAAATCAGCAGAGTCTTCCCCMTCTGCAGGGTGAGCTCCAAGAATCCATCTGGGACTTCTCTGTCGCCTGGMGAGGCTCTGATGCCTCTGTGTCCCCACTCTGCCATCATTCCTCTGCCGGAGCTCAGAGCAAAGGCTGAGGCACATGTCCACAGAGACACATTTCCACTCAGGAATCTTGTCGTCAAGAGATGGGGGATTTTTAGGCTCATTGACTTTGGTGACACAATCCAATGGTCTATTTCTAGACAGAGTGAGATGGTGAACATGGCAGTATTTTAGCTGACAGGACTTCAACGTTGCTATTCAGGATCAATTGATTGTCC